CATTTCTCCCTGTCTCTCTCCCTGTCTCGATCGCTCCCTCTGTTTCTCTTGGTCTGTCTCTCCCTGTCTCCCTACCTCCCCCAGGATCTCTGCTCCTTGTTGCCATTTAATGCTCCCCTCTCCCACCTTCCCCCCACTTGGGTCTATTTTTAGGCATCTCCTAGTTTGGGGAGAATTTTCTGGCCAAAGATGGCAAGAACCCAGAGCCGAGGCAGGAGGGCTGGGTGGGGGCCGGGTGGGGTGGGCAGGTCCCCTCCCTCCCTGGGTCTCTGGTCTCATGGGGCAGCATAACCAGGACCCTGGGAGTTTGGTGGCTCTGACCTCTGACCTCCCCCGTGATTTTGTCTCTCTGTCCCCTGCTCCCCACCTCCCTCTCCTGATGCCTACCCCACCCGTCCTGGATCTGCTTTGGTGAGTGAACATGGAGCCACCCCTTCCTTTCTGGTGGGGGCGAGGGGGGGAGGAGGGAGAGGAGGGAGAGGATGCCCTGGAACAAAGGAGGCAGAGTTTCTGTCCCAAGCATTCATTGAGCACCTGCTGCATACCCAGCCCAGTAGGCATTGAGGATACAGCTGTGAGCAATGTAGCCCCAGTTCTTACTTCATATAAGGGATAAATGAGGAGGCAGATTTGGGGGAGGCAGGAGACAGAAGCTAGGGAGAAAGAGCAAGGGTGTGGGCAGTCGGTGGTCGTCGCTGAGTCCATGCCCAACTGAGTATGGGTCCCCCTACCTCTGCCTGTGCTATGATGTTCTTGGAGTCCTCACATGCTACCCAAAGTGCTCTGGGTCTCCTGCCCATGTCCACCTCTTCCACATGTGGGGCCCGCACTTCTGGAGCAGGGGGACCTCCCGCGGGGCCTCCTGGGCAACACTCCCCCTTCCCGCAGCCCCAGCGCGTTTTCGGAACATACTTCCGCGTGGGTTTCTACGGTGCCCGCTTTGGTGACCTGGACGAGCAGGAGTTTGTGTACAAGGAGCCATCCATCACGAAGCTGGCCGAGATCTCACATCGGCTGGAGGCACGTCCCGGTGGTGGTGGGTGGATGGGGCACAAGCCTGCCCTGGGGTGGGGCGGGGGCTGCAGCTGTGCGGCCCGAGTCAGCCCCGTGTCCCCAGGAGTTCTACACGGAGAGGTTTGGAGAAGATGTGGTCGAGATTGTCAAAGATTCGAACCCTGTCGACAAGACCAAGCTTGACTCCCAGAAGGTGAGGGTTCCTGACCATGCCTCTGGGGTCCCCAAAATCTTATAGTCGGGGTGATTCTCAGCACTGTTTTCTGGAAACCCTCAAATCCTTTTCCTCTGAGAAAGTCCAAAGCTTACGTCCTCCAGGGACCCCCAAATCCTTAACCTCAGGTAATTCCCAAACATAAGGAGACCTGGGACTCCCATGGAGGCCCAAATCCCCTTTCTCCAGGGACAGAGCCCTGCTGGGAGGCTGGCAAGCTCCAGGGGGGTAAGTGGGGGCTGTGGGAACCTCACACCGGAGCCCCGTGCCCCAGGCCTACATCCAGATCACATACGTGGAACCGCACTTTGACACCTATGAGCTCAAGGACCGGGTGACCTACTTCGACCGCAACTACGGCCTGCGCACCTTCCTGTTCTGTACGCCCTTCACGCCTGACGGGCGTGCTCACGGGGAGCTGCATGAGCAACACAAGCGTAAGACACTGCTGAGCACGGACCATGCCTTCCCCTACATCAAGACACGTATCCGCGTGTGCCACCGAGAGGAGGTAGGTGGGGTCCCCAAACCCGGGTTGGGGGAGGTGAGGGGACTCCCAACTCCAGCCTCCAGACCCCAATCTGTAGCCTCAAATCTCTACCTCCAGACCCAGCTGATCCAAGGCTGCACCACGACCAGACCAAAGCCCCAGAGCTAGACAAAGGCAGCTGAGCCAGGCCCTGGCAGAGCCAGGCAGGCAGGCGCCCTCACACACTGTTCATGACACAGCCTCTCAGGCCCCTCCCACCGCAGCTGCCCTGGGCTGGCCTGGGTAGGATATGGTCAGGCCCCAGCCAGGGCGTGCTGCCCCTAACCCTGCAGACGGTGTTGACGCCGGTGGAGGTGGCCATCGAGGACATGCAGAAGAAGACACGGGAGCTGGCCTTTGCCACCGAACAGGACCCGCCCGATGCCAAGATGCTGCAGATGGTGCTACAGGGCTCTGTGGGACCCACTGTGAACCAGGCATGGCCGGTGGGGTGTGCAGGCTGCCCGAGGCCCCCAAGGGTCCATGCAGACACCCTCACAAGGCCTTCTTACCCCACAGGGTCCCTTGGAGGTGGCCCAGGTGTTTTTGGCAGAGATCCCAGAAGACCCCAAACTCTTCAGGCATCACAACAAGCTACGGCTCTGTTTCAAGGACTTCTGCAAGAAGTAGGCCTGACCTCACCCATTAGAGCCCCTTCAACCCTCATCATGGCTCTCTGCCTACTTTACCCCCCAGTTCTAGCTCCTGACCCACCTCACGGACTCCTCCTCCACCTCTGGTCTTGCTTTCTCTCCCGAGTGCCAGTACCTGAGCACCCTGCCATCTGGCCCTCAGGTGCGAGGATGCGCTGCGAAAGAACAAGGCCCTGATTGGGCCAGACCAGAAGGAGTACCACCGCGAGCTGGAGCGCAACTACGCCCGCCTAAGGGAGGCTCTGCAGCCCCTGCTCACCCAGCGCCTGCCCCAGCTGCTGGCGCCAACCACAGCCAGCCTCAGGTGCCTGACCCAGGCCCCCCACCCTAGAGAGGGCAAACAGAGGCAGGCACAGGATGGGGATTGTCGTGCACATCAGCATATGCATTCGGCTTTGCACACAAGGATGTGACTACCTGGGCATGTGCACAAATGCACACTCTGGGCAATCATTTCAGATCCTAGTGCATTAGTTCCCAGACACGCAACTTCATCTTTCTGAGCCTCATTTCTACATCCGTAAAATGGGCACAATATGATTCTGGTGGTGGGTTCCGGGAGAGAATCTATGAACCCACAGCCAGATCAGAACGGATGGGAAAGGAGCAGGGAAGGCTCTAAACGAAGCTTTGGCGGAAGAGAGGGAGAGGGCTGGGAGCACTATGGAGTTGGGGGCCCTGTGTCCATGTTGACCCACCTCATTCCTCCCCCAGGAACTCCTTGAACAGAGCAAGTTTCCGGAAGGCCGACCTCTGAGCTCACAGGGCCTGAAACCACACCCAGAGGAACCAGCATCCTGGCCTCAGCTCTGTGCCTTTCTGGGGTTCTGCCCCACCTGGGGTGACCACATTGCATGTGGTGCTGGGCCCTCTGTTCCTGTTTGTGCACTGATACTTCTTACCTTTTTTTAATTTAAAAATTTTTTTATGAGCAGCCTGTGTGGTGTGGTCCCTGGGGGCTGGGTCATGTGTGCACCGCGTATCCACACTCTGATCTTTGACAGCCAGACTCTGTTGGGAGCCAGGGACACACCAGTGACCACAGTTGCAAATGCCTGCCCTTGTGGGGCTTGCCGTTCTGATGGGGAGGCAACACACAAATGAAAACGTCGCATGTACATGGGAATAATAGTAACGTTTATTTATTTTTTTTTCAAAAGGAACATTTATTAAACCCTTGCTGATTGCCCAGTCCTGTACTAAAAGGCTCCCAGGAAGACACTGCCCCATTTATGGGTCTTTAGGTCCAAAAAACTCCAAGAGGCCCCTGCCTCATGGTTATTGAATCTTCTCAGCACCACTATCAGGCACACTCTTAACCCCATCTCAGAGATGGGGAAACTGAGGCACCGGGCACTTAAAGGCCTGGTGGGGTTGGGATTGGAGCCCAGGTCTGGAGGGCCAGAATGCCCAGGCCTTAGTCACGGCCCGCGCAGCCTTGAACTGACCCGGCTCCCTGTCCGCCCCGCGGCGGTCACGCCACCGTGGACCAGGCC